CTGGCATAACTGGTTAGCTGCTATGGGACAAAACGCCTAAAATGTAAATTTTCCTGTATCCATCCACCAAGATAATTTCCAGAAAAATCAATTCTTTAAATAGTTTAAAATAATATCATCAAAGTTCAAGAAGACAACTTTATTTTTATTTGTAGTTTTTTTTTCTTTCTTTTTTTTTTTTTTTTTTTCTTTTTTTGAGATGGAGTCTCACTCTGTTGCCCAGGCTAGAGTACAGTGGCACAATCTCGGCTCACTGAAACCTCTGCCTCCCAGATTCAAGCAACTCTCTTGCCTCCCAAATAACTGGGATTACAGGCACACGCTGCTGCGCCCAACTTATTTTTCGTACTGTTAGTAGAGATGGGGTTTCGCCATCTTGCCCAAGCTGGTCTTAAACTCCTGAACTCAGGTGGCCTGCCTGCCTTGGCCTCCCAAAGTGCTGGGATTACAGGCATGAGCCACTCTGCCTGGTCAACAAATTTTTATTTTTTATTTTTTATTTTTTTGAGACGGAGTCTCATTCTGTCGCCAGGATGGAGTGCACTGGCACGATCTCAGCTTACTACAACCTCCGCCTCCTGGGTTCAAGCGATTCTCCTGCCTCAGCCTCCTGAGTAGCTGGGACTATAGTCATGTGCCACCACACCCAGCTAATTTTTTATTTTTAGTAGAGACAGGGTTTCACCATGACGGCCAGGATGTTCTTGATCTCGTGACCTTGTGATCTGTCCACCTTGGCCTCCAGAAGTGCTGGGATTACAGGTGTGAGCCATCGCACCCAGCCAACTTTATTTTTAAAATTAGTCTCAGGAATGTGATGGTCATGCTAACCTCAACATCTCAGTAGGCTCAAAGGAAAAAGCCTGATACATTTGACTAAATTACATGTTTAGCAAAGTAAAAAGCATGCCAAAAAGAGAAGAAGAAAAGAATGGCCAGCTGGGGTAAACTTTTACAAGACAAACCAAAGGGTTCATTTCCTTTATACGTAAAGAATAAAACAAATCAGTAAGAAACACCCAAATTCCCAATTGCCAGGGGCTGCGGGGCGGGAGAAATGGGGAGATACTGGTCAAATGGTACAAACTTTCAGTTATGAGATGACTAATGTCTGAGGTTCCAGTGTGTCCAACTATGGCTGTATTACAATCCTGTATTGTATACTAGTAATTTTCTGAGACGATAGGTCCTAAGTGTTCTCATCACACATAAAAAAGGTAGCTATGAGACTTGATGGCTATGTTAATAAACCTGACTGTGGTAATCATTTCACCATGCAACTTTATACCAACACATCACATTGTATGACTTAAATATACAAAACTTTTATTTGTCAATTATCCGCCAATAAAGCTGGGGGTGAAAATCTAACAGAGGAATAAGCACAGGAAACAAACAGGCAACGCACTGAAAAGAAAAGCCACTTATGAACACATGAAACAGTGTTTGGCTTCACTTACTATGAAAGACATGTGAAATCAACAGGACACTTCTCCGCACTCATCAGCCTGGAGCTTACATCAAACAGCTGGTCATACAGTGTTGGTGACAAGGTGGGAAACTCATACATAATCAACTCTCATACATAACCAACAGCAGCGTACACTGTCCCGCCTTGGGAAGGCATTCTGCCCGCCTCTATCCGACTTGGTGTGCTCCTGGCCCGTACCCCTGCCATAGCCAGGAACTGCCTCTATAAAAGAACCCACACCCGAAAACAAAGGCACAGCCCCAAGGCTGTTCATTTCTGCACCGACTGGAAATCTCCTAACAATTGGTCCAAGGGGGCTGGTTAATACCACATCCCACATCCACTAAACTGATCCTGCGCTGCCATTTAAATAATCAGGTGAACCTATTGTGTCTCCAAGATCTAGCAAGAAATAAAAAAGTTAAGTACAGATCCATGTGGCCAGCGCAATGTCTATTTAAGGAAAAGGGTCTATTGATAGGGTGATATAGGTCTAAGAAATTCCTGGAGAAAATCACAAGAAATGTAAGTGGCTTCCCCTGTACAGAGGGACTAGGGGTCTGAGCCATAGGAAGAGGTACTGAGGAGGTACTGTGGGGATTTCCAGGGCAGAACTGTTTAACTCTTGCAGCTCTTGCTCTGATTCGAGCACTACTCTGAGAAACCTTTAACAACTTCTACTAGTGAACAAAAGTTCAAATTTTAAAACATGACTAATTCTTATTCCTGCTGACTACATACAGTACTGCAGAAACATGATCTTGTTTGAAAAAAAGATAAAGTCCTCTGGGTTTTCATAACCCCTCTTTAGAACGTTCCACATCCATTCTAGTCCCACAGGGTGACCTTCCCTCCTCTCCTCCTGCCCATCCCCCACCCAAATAGGCCAAAGAGGAGGGGGTGGGAGATGTCTTCACTTTAAGAGTCTTATCTGGGCTGGGCGCGGTGGCTCATGCCTGTAATCCCAGCACTTTGGGAGGCCGAGGCGGGTGGATCACGAGGTCAAGAGATCGAGACCATCCCGGTCAACATGGTGAAACCCCGTCTCTACTAAAAATACAAAAATTAGCTGGGCATGGTGGCGCACGCCTGTAATCCCAGCTACTCAGGAGGCTGAGGCAGGAGAATTGCTTGAACCCAGGAGGCGGAGGTTGCGGTGAGCCAAGATCGCACCACTGCACTCCAGCCTGAGTAAAAAGAGTGAAACTCCATCTCAAAAAAAAAAAAAAAAAAGAGTCTTATCTGAACAGGTTCACCCCAATTGTCTATTTTAAGAAATAGCAAACTAAGTCTCAGATCCCATGCCCCTGCCCCCACTGCATGAAACCAACCAAGCAGCTTTGAGAGAAGGAAGGGGCGATAGGTGAGCGCAGCTCCTGGTCTGGGGAATGGACTGGTGTGGACTTCAGCCCTTCTCCATTCCTGCCTAGAACAAGAAGCAATGGCTGAAGCTGCCCACACACTGGGTGACCATGAGGTGGCAAGCCTGAGAGGAGGTCACAAGACACAGCGGTGCTGATCCGGATGTCACAGAGCCACTGAACCAGCAGCCTCTTGCCTCTGGACTTCCTTATGGAAGACACACGCCTCCTATTTGCGCAAGCTGATATTAGGTGGGTATTTTGATACTTGTATCCAAACGCATTCAAACTGATACAAGTGTTTAACTGGAGAAACTTTTGCCAAATTCATTCCATTCTAGGGTTTTGCCTCACCATTAGGATGATCTCTTCCTGGTGCTGGGTAAGATTTTTGGTCCATGAAGGCCTTGCTGAATATAAATGCTGTAATAGTAAGGGATGTTCTTTTGCTTAAGTTTTCTCCATTTTCATAATAAAGGGCTTCTCTTCTACAGAAGAAACTATAAATGCAGGCTTTCCACATGGGCTCCAGTTGGTCACCGCGGTTTAGCCCGTTTGGTTGGCGTAAGGCATCCGGCCTTGTTTGGATCTGTTTTGGAACAGTGTGAGTGATGCAGGGAACTGAGTTTTCTGGGATGCCAGGAGCTAGAGCCAGAGGAGCCCCAGGCACTGACACCGTTCCCCAATCCCTCACTATCCCACTCCCTGCAGATATGAGATTGGTTCAAGGGCCGGGGAATTTAATGCCCAAATTACATCTTAGACAGTGTGAGGGTTCTGTCCAGATGACACCTTGAGACACTGAAAAGTGAGCTTCTTGGACCCAGGAGACCCTGCCTCCCTGGAGCAGTGTGACTGGCACCCCCACCCTGGCTTCTGCCCACCCAGGAAAATGCAGTCACATACTTCATTCGCCCTGCTCATGAGATGCCAGCTCCCATAAATCAGGAGCCCCATCAAACCCCGTGAACAGGAAAGTGGGCAGCGTAGTCTCCCCCAGGAATCATCACAGCTTGCCCATAGCCCAACGTGGCCTGAAGAAAACCAGTTTCAGCTAGTTTAAACCAAATAAAATGTACCTAAAACCACATGTAAACTGCTGGCCAAAATCCATTTGAGCCTATTTGAATTGGTCAAAATGGAACCAAGTCTCCCTGAATTGCGTGGTATTAAATCTGACAGTTTAAAGCAGATTTCTACCCAATCTGAGCAGCATTAAGTCATAACGGTCAAAACTGATTTGAGCCAGTTAATCCAGTTTCAACCAGTTGGAACTGGTTTCGCTTGGTTCAAACTAGTCCTCTCAAGGCAAATTTGGGGGCTGCAGGTTCCCAGGCTTTAGCTGTTTGCTAAAAAAGAAAAACAGCCTGGGAAGGGCTGAACGTCATTTATTTCTGAAGACTAATTTACCTTGCTCGCATAAATATTTATAAGAATTAATTACCAGCTTATTGAAAGAATTAATGAAATTCGCATTGTTTATTCTAACACATTAGCAGGGGCAGGAAACATCCTCCTGACAAAGAGAGAGAAATCCTACTGAAGAAGCTCTTTACTCTGAGGCTGGAGCGCTAGAAGCAAACCCAGCAGACCTCCTACAGGGGCCCCGTAGGGTCTCTGGATGCTCAGCTGTCAAAGCCAGGCAGGTGTGCTCCCTGTCTCCAGGAGTGACACGGAACATATCAAACAGTCTCATTCTTTACTGAATGTTGAAATGCACTATCAACCTCCTCAAAAAGGGTGGAACAGTAAAGAAAAACAAAAGACCAAAAAAAAAAAAAAAAAAAAAAAAAAAAAAAAAAAACCAACAGCCTGAATTTGGATATGATTGTATCCACCCTGATGAGAAGTGTTAGCTATAACCAGCGGCTTATAAACACACATCTCAATCTATTCAGTCAACAGAGTCGTCTGTGATGTAATTAGCAAGGGTGTAATTAAAGGAGGAGGTCTACTGTTCCCTGCATCAAAGAAGGCGATCAGCTGGACCTCCCCTCCCCACTAAGTGGGGCTACACAGCATTCAAACAGCCGATGGCCAAGCACCTTGGCGGAAGGCGCGCTTTGTAAACAAGCTTTGCAGGTGAATGCCGAAAGTAAAAGTACCATTTGTTTTGATGTAAAACGAGGCCGGATGCCCCTTGAGAGATAAAATTCAAAGTCACTTACCAGCCACAAAACTTGGAAATGAGGCCACCTTCTTTGTCTGTTAGGAAATACGGAAAAATAAAACACATACCATTGTAAGTAGTAGTCCACAGGGTGAAGGCTAAGGAGGGCTGTGACATGTGCCATGGTGAGAAAAGCGAACCCTCACGAGTGAGGGCGTTCCCAAGATGGTAGCTCCATACAGCAAAGTAGTCTCGTGCAGGCGACACGATGTTGGGGAGTGGCTCAAAAGCCCACCTCTAAAATGTAGGGACCCTGAGACTAGCATATCCTGACTAGAAGGGAGCCTAGAGACCATCCAATATACTGGTGCTTCAACCGCTGCGTGTGACACGCCTTTAAAAGCAAGATCAAGGAGACTGGATGCCCGTCCATCGGTGGCCATTGTTACTTCATCAAAGTTAAACAATCTCATGTTAAACTATGTTACCTAGAGAGGGAAAAGAACTTCCGATACGGCGGCATTACTTTATAGGAGATTGTTTGTCAAAACCTGTTGTTGATTTAGAACAGTGGCTCTCAACTGGGATGATTTTGTTCCCAAAGGGACAGTGGGTAGCATTTGGAGACATTTTTGGTTGCCACGAATCAGGGGTGGGGATGAGGTCGCTCCAAGGATCTAGTGGGTTGAAGCCACGGATGCTGCTCAACTCCTGCAGTGCACAGGGCGGTCCCCCAAAGAATTACCTGGGCCTCAATGTCAACAGTATCACTGCTGAGAAACCCTCGTCTAGAACATGGTTATAAGACAATGAACAGCATGGCTTTCTATCAAATTAAGAAGCACCAATGATCCCCCAGCCCCATACACACACCATCTGCAACACAGGAGGCCCTCCACAGCACGGTCCCAACAACAGGGGGGCCTTCTCCTCCCTCCTCCCAGGCCTGCGTGCCCTCACCACCTCCCCATATGGTGACACCAACTTGGCTTGACCTGGACTCGCTCTCCCCCAGGCACTGGGTGGGAGGAGAACATCATGGACAGACTGAGCAGACCACAATTCGGCGGGCCACTCCATCATCAGATGAGCGTTCTGGCCCAGAACTCTCATCCTTCCAACAAATTACCTCTGGGATGTTGTTATTGTCAACAGGTCCATTGAGGTCAGAGCGCTGCTGCTTCCTTGGCTGCTCCAGACCATTGCAAACCTGGAAACGGGGAAGTTAAAGATTCTGTTTTTATATGTTAGAGAAAGGCAAGATGCAAAACCTGGATATGCGATGTGATACAGTTCTGTAACACGCATGTGTATGTAGCTATGTGTATAGGTGTGTATGCAGACATCTACTTCATTATACTTAAACTGCTATGCACTTAATATGCTATTTTCATACTTCTAAAAAAGTTGTTAAATCATTTTTAAATGTATTATCTTTTAATTGCAGTCGAACGCACAGAACATCAAGATCACCATCTGACCGTTTTTAAGTGTACAGTTCAGAGGCACTAAGTACATCCACATTGTCGCACAACCATGGTCAACATCCACCTTCAGAACGTTCTCCTCTTCCCAAGACTAAAACTCTGTACCACCCATTAAACACACTCCTCAATACCCCCAGCCCCAACCCCAACCTGTGCCCCTGGCAACCACCATTCTACTTTGTTTCTGTGAATTGGGCAGCTTTGGGAACTGGCTTAGTGCACTCAGCAAAATGTCCTCAAGGGTCATCCACACAGAAGCACATGGTAGACTCTCCTTCCTTTTAAGGCTGACTCACATTCGACTGTGTGTTCACGCCACATCTTGTTTATCCCGTCATCTACTGACAACAGTTGAGTTGCCTCCCATTCTTGGCTATGTTGATGGCGCTGCTATGAATGTGCCTGAGTCTTCACTCTCACTTCCTCTGTGCACATACCTGGAGGTGACATCACTGGACCACAGGATAATTCTATCTTTCATTTTTTTAAGGAGGCTCCATACTGTTTTCCACAGCCATAGCACCATTTTACAGTCCCACCAACAGTGCCCCAAAAGTTAAATATTTTTTAAAACCCTTGATCCTTGGATGAGAATAAATGCAAATTAGCCAATCTATTACTATAAAATGCCCCAAGTACATGTCATAGGTCTTCTCTTAAAGACGACACCAAACTACAACTGCTTCTACTTCAATTAATTTAAGGGTAGGTATATTTTCTCTATTTAGTTCCTTACACCATCCAGAAGATGGAAGCCAGACCCACAGCCCTTAAATCCCCATGCAAGCCCCAAAGGAGGATCCGGCGCCTGCACGGTAAGTCCAGTTCCAGACATTTCTGAAAATCAATTATCAAGCAATAACATGATGATGATGGCGAGGAAGACACTGATGATAAAACTTGCATTTACCAGCTGGGCGCAGGGGCTCATGCCTGCAATCCCAGTACTCCGGGAGACTGAGGCAGGCAGATCACTTGAGATCAGCAGTTAAAGACTAGCCTGGCCAACACGGTGAAAGCCTATCTCTATTAAAAATACAAAAATTAGCTGGGTGTGGTGGTGGGTGACTGTAATTCCAGCTACTCGGGAGGCTGAAGCCGGAGAAGCACTTGAGCCTGAGGGGCTGATGTTGCCCCGAGCCGAGACGGCACCATTGCACTCCAGCCTGGGTGACATAATGAAATTCAGGCTCAAAAAAAGCGACATTTACCTAGCACCTTCGGGTTTACAGAAGCCTTCTGCGTACACGATGAATATTCTTCCTCCTGCTTGACGTGTGAGAAAACTGAGACCCCCAGGTGTCGGGCGGGTTTCTCTTGGAGTCAGGTGAGGCCTCGAGGTGTGGCTGCCGGCCCTGTTCCCTGTCCTAGTCTATCACTGTCTTGCTCTTTGGTCGAACTCTGCCTCTCCAGGGGTCTGAAAAAATTAAAAGGACCGGGGCCCACCCTCCCAGCACTGATGGGGACAGACACGCAGTGCCCCAGGCAGTCAGAATGATTGCTGGCTAAGCCTCCCCTCCAGGATCACAGACACCACTGGATTTCAGAGGCGAAGGGAGTGGAGGGTGGTGGGGGAGCGGGCGCCAGTGCTGGGCTTTAAGGATGGCAAGGGAGAAGGAAGTGCATTCTGATACATCTCCAGAAAGCTACAAGGGGCTGCCCTTCCTGGAGCTGAGGGGGTGCTGGGGTACAGCTGGGACCCAGAGGGTCTAGATTCAGGTGAGTCCCTGCCTCCTTGTCCTGCTGTCCCTACCCCTGAGCCCCATGAGCTCACAGGCCTGTCCAGACCACACCCTGCTATCCTGGTATGACCCAAGGCTCGGCTCTGGCTTGTCTGGGGCTGCTGGCATGCTGCCCTGCTTTTCAAAGCCTAGCATCCCAGGAGCAAAACCTATCTTTCACGCACGAGCAAGCTGCGATCCACCTGGACCTCCACTGCAGCAGACCCCACGCTGATCAAGCTGAGCAGACAGTGTCCCTTTCTGTGGGGCTGCGACAGGCCCGAGTACTGCTCCTCCAAAGCTTCTTCCCCCGCCCAGCCCTGACACTGCTCTTCCTGCTGTGGACAAGGAACATCAGGCAAAAGATTCCAAAGGATGCAGCAAGACAATCTCGCCTCAGATGCCGCTCACGTTCTCCTTAAGTCAATCTAATTTAGGACATCCCCCAGAGAGCTCTGTCGAGGACATTTTGCTGTTTCAAGGTGCACAAAGCACACATCAGTATTTTACCCTCTTGTCTGAAAGTTCTCGACACAGTGCCCTTCTGCATGGACTTGGTTTCCTGAGGGGCTTCCCTGCCTTACTAGCTGGTAGAAAGGCTCTGGTCATCTCCAAAAAAACCCCAAAGAAACCAACCGTTAACCAATCAAACAATGAAATCAGGTTAACGACATCCCTTCTGCAAGCTGGGGGTGGGATTTAATTTTTCAGGCGGGAGGAGCACCGCAGATGTCAGGCCACAGACTCTCATCAGGCGGCCACATACGTCAGGGCTTGGGGGAACACAACAGGGGCTGCACCCCCCATGGGCTAGGGCTTGGTCAGCCATCGCACCTTTGTACAGTTTCAAGCCAGGGCTCAAGGCTTGGCCAGGGACACACACTGATTCCCACAGCCCCATGCTCTGTCCACAGGGCTCCTCAGTGAGAGGCCACAGTGCGAGGTGTCCCTGGGCAACACGAGGTCTTCTCTAGGGGTGACCCTTTCCTACACATCAGTGTTTCCTCTAACTCCCTCCCAAGCGGGTGTCCACTCGTCACCATGACAACCGCATCTCACAGTAAACAGCAGGGGCTGCTTTCCAAAGAGGCAGGAGGGTGGGCTTGTGATGCTTCTCCTTGGGAGAGCCCATCTGGTGCTCTAATTTCCATCTCAGGGGTGGCGGGGTTCGGGGGCTGGCAGCATCTGAAATTCACACAGTTGAAAGCCCACATGGATTTGGGGTTCCTGGCATCCTAAAGATGCTATTTAAATCCCGTTATGCCCTCCCCAAGGTACAGCAGCCAGCCACCCCTCAAAATCAGATGTCAGCCAGGGTCACCTCAACTTCCCACAGCCAAAAGGGGACAGGGAGTCCCTTTCCTCATTGAGTAACTGTAGTGGGGCCTTCCCATGCCATGGACTGAAACCCACATCCACTCAGAGATGGCAGTGAGCACAGCATGAGAAGCATTGTGTACCCCCAGAGCTCTGAAGACAGAAAATTAATGTGTGGTGTGGCACAGACTGTTTACAGCACACCAGGACCAGGGGCAGCTGTTCCGGGCAGAGATAAGTGCTTGTAATAAAAATACACTAATGCCAATAAATCTTTCTAATAAATATCTTGGCTCCAGTTGATGAAACTAAAGCTTGAATTTTTTAAAGTGTTGATTCTGATTTTGCCTGCTTGATGAAACTGAAAATACAGCAATATAACACATTGCTTTGGATGAAACAACATCAAACCAGTGCACACCCACTCCGCTCCGGCCATCTGCAACAAAGGCAGCATGCTTTCAAGCACGCTCCAGAATGACACACATGTCAGAAGCTGAGGTTAGGGACAGAGGGCAACAGCAGAAAGCCAGGCTAACCACAGCCAACCCCAGTGGCCTGTGAAAATTCTCCCCAGACGGGACCCTCTGACAGAAATTCTGGGCGGATGAATGACTCTGTTAGATGGCAGTCTTCTCTGGGAATCACTTCACGGTTCCTGTTTTCAAAAGAGGTGGTCATCCCTACATATCCGCTATTTAAGCAGGCACTTCTTCCTCCACTCAGCTCAGGAGGGGCGGCTGAGACCTGCTGCAACACCAGAGTTCCAAGCAGGATCCGCGAGAGCCTGATACCCTGGTTGGACGGAAGGTCTCACTCAGGAGCACGGATGTCTTCTTTCAGAAGCCCCTGGATCTGTCCCCTGCAACTGTGTGGCTCCGAAAACATTACAGTATTGTTCTTTTTCTTCCACTCCTCTTTACAATTCAGGTCACTCCTATTATATTTATCTTGAGGAGAATGGGCGCTTGGATAGTATATTTATTCGTATGATAGTTACTCCCCTAGGGGAGATATCTTTTCAAAGCAGATCTGTGGTTTTAAAGTATCACAAGACACATTGGGAAAACCAGCCAGTCAGTTTGTACTTAAACATCTCTAGGCAGGCCTGAGAATGGGAGGGGGATGGGGAGTCCCTCCTGTATCCAGTATCCAGACATTTCATGAAACATACTAAAAAAATTATCCACTTTCTATCTGAAGTACAACTTATTTTTTCAATTGCTTATTATGGTAAAATACACATACAATCAAATGCACTATCTCAATCATTTTTAAGCGTACAGTTCGGTGTTATTAGATTCATAATGTTGCTCAACCATCACCACTATCACTATCTTTTTTTTTTTTTTTTTAACAGAGTCTCACTCTGTCATCTAGACTGGAGTTCAGTGGCACGATCTCGGCTCACTGCAACCTCTGCCTCCTCAGTTCAACCAATTCTCCTGGCTCAGCCTCCCAAGTAGCTGGGATTACAGGTGTGCACCACTGTGCCTGGCTAATTTTTGTATTTTTAGTAGAGACAGGGTTTCACCATGTTGGTCAGGCTGGTTTCAAAATCCTGACCTCAAGATCCGCCCGCCTAGGCCTCCCAAAGTGCTGAGATTACAGGCATGAGCCACCCAGCCCATCAACACTATCTTGGTAAGTTTTTCTTCTATACCCATCTGAAATTCAAATGTAAC